AGTAGAGGACATGTACCGGTATATAAAACCCGCGCCCTATAATCCCGTGCGCCTTATGTGTGTGTTAAATATAGTAATGGCACACATAACTGAGACTGCGCCTTATGGTCGTGAAAATACTGTAGGCCTGATTTCGTAAATCCAGGGGGTTTATAAACATTTTTTGGCCTGGAAAACGTGAGTCAGTGATGGTGGTGGTATCGGTATCGGCGAGTACCAACAATAGGGCACCGATACCATTTAGAGAGCCAAAAGTTTCTTCAACTATTGTCACCCATTCCAGGTAGGCAATAAAAAGTTCTACTGGATTCACTTTGTTTTAGTCTGTTTCCTGCTCCTCAAAGGTAGGCAGCAGCTTGATTAAGCCATGATGGAAACTATTTATATCCAAGTAGGATGCAGTTCTTCATATAAACACACACATCAGTTTTAAACAGATGGTATCGGCCAATACTGCACAGCCAGGTATCGGGGCCAAAAACTGGCAGCGGTGCAACACTAATCCTAACCTTACGTTTCTTTCAGGTGCTGCTTGAGAGAAAACCTTTTCTTTACATCATAAACTTCGTCGTCCCCCTGGTGTACCTGCTGGTCCTGGATTTGGCTTCCTTCTTCATTTCTGTGGATTCAGGGGAAAAGTTTGGCTTTAAGGTGACAGTGCTGCTGTCCGTCTCCGTCTTACTGCTGATTCTACAGGACATTTTGCCGTCCACAGAAGACGACCTTCCGATGATTGGTGAGAAGAAGCCAAAAATACAGCAGACCAAACCGATCGCTGTCTGTGTGGTGCTGATGAATCCCTGCCTGTTATTTCAGCCAACCTCTGCGTCGGTGTGTTTACCTTGGTATGGCTCAGTGTGCTGGAGTCCATGCTGGTGAGCTTCTTATATAACCTGGATCGTTGTTGCCAAGAAAAAAATAAGAGCTCCATCGTGGGGAAGGTTCTCAAGAAGAAGGCGACCAAAGGTCAAAAAGGTATGTTTTCAATCAGCATTTCTTCAAATAAAATTTGTCTTTTTTTTGTTTGCAAATTATCCAGCTACGCAAAAAAGCTCATATTGGAAGTTAGACTAAAGTCGATCTTTAACGCTACTTAGCTCTGGCTTTCATGAAACGAGGACAGAAGGACCCAGTATTCAAGGAGAGACAGTCAGTAGGAAAGTTCAAACGTTTATTAAATAAAACAAAACAAAAGCGGAGCTGTGGCTCGCAGACACTGCAGGCGGGGGGACGGGGCACCGCCCAATCTCAGACACTCTGTAGTGGGAGAAAAACAGG